GAAACAATAATTATCATAAAAAGTTACAACTTTAAGGTAGAGAATCCACCCAGCATTTTATCCAATCCTAAATTGCGAGCAACAACAGTAAACCCACACAACAAATGCCCAGCTTAGTTCAATAATACACATAACTTAACACTAAATTTCAATATCTAGAGAACCCAAAAGTTAGAAATCTTGAGCAATCCAGAAAGACAGCTTAAGTTAGAAACTAGGAAGGACAAAAAAAAGGTGCAATCTGGGGGCACCTGAAAAACCATAGGAGAAATATGTTCAGAATAAAACTACTGCAGGAATTACCGCTATACCATTTGGAATGGAAATGAAATTTTTCGATTACTAATTTTTGAAAATTGCCAATGATGCACTATTTTCAACAAATTATTGGCAGGAGAAATAAATATTCATAGTATCTTTAAGAGGTATAAGTATAAATTGATAGTTACTGATTTGATCCAAAGTTAAAATTTATGCCCTCAAATTCAAAACCTGAAAATTCAAGAATCCTTGCTTTAGTTTAACAAAATGGGATAGAAGAATGTTTTTCTTGATTGTTTTTCGCTGGAATGTTGTTATTTGAATTTAGTTGTTAACTCTGTGGAGCATATGTGCAACCATGGGGCATATTTTTTTTTCCTTTAAAATAAACACAGGCATGTTGTTTCATGAAGTCTGTCTTTCATTTCATATCTTTTTTCTAGAAAGCTCAAATCTTTGTCCCTTAGAGGAGCTTATTGCTTATAGAAAGCTTGAATCTCTTTCCCTTTTAATCTCGTTCTTTCTCCCTCTCCTCTCTCAGTTATCTACTCCTACTTGCCTTCTTTTCCTTTGCCTCCATAATTCCAAGTTCATGTCATTACTTGCGCAATTTTTTGAGGAAGGTCATTATTATTTTTTTGATAACTAGTTCATTTTCACTGTAAAGTATCCTCTCCTATCTATTTGTCATGTTTTGATAAAGTTCTTAGAGAAGCAACTCAGATCCTATGTTCTTATTGGATGGAACTAATGCATGCATGTTTAAGTTTTATAGGCGGTTTTTGGTATAACTTAAATTTTGGTCAGATTGAGCATATAAGCTCTCTAGGAACATCTTTCTGATATTTTTGCTAATTATGAAAGAGTATAAACTCTTAGAATAACATTTTTAGGAAGCTGATAGGGTTAGTTTTTATTTTATAAGCTCTCTGAAAAAAAAAAATTGATATTGACCTAGTAAATATCTAAATTCTCTCCAAGTCAACAATTCTAAAATTTTCAATCTCTAGTTTTAAATATTCAAGAACAGAAAAATTTTCCATTTTTATCATTTGAACATAAGTAGCAGCTTGTAAGTTTTATTTCTACGAAACATATAAATAGTTGAATACAGCTTATCAACTCTTGTTATCCAAACAATGTAACAGCTTTTTCTTTTTAATAGAAACTTCAACAGCTTTCATGTTAACAACTTCTAAGCTTCTATACCTTCACTTGAACCAAGCACTCTTAAGGATTTGAGCTCCTGTATTGACTTGGCAATATAGCAACATAAATTCATCATACAATTTAACTAGAGTAACAGGTTAGGAAATAGAAAAAAAGAAATTATAATATTAAATACAATCCATTATAGTTTTGTTTTTCCAACACATGCAACTTGGAGTTTAAATTTGAGTTCCTAAAAAGAAAGGAGTTTAAGCTTGAGTTTCCATCTTGCACTTATTATGAAGGTAATTATTGTCATTTTCAAAATCTTTGTTTGACTTTTGGGGTGTGCTTTTTCTTTTTTTTTAAAAAAAAATTCTTTCTTTACTCTTACTCCAGTTGGGGCATGGAATGATAAAATGCATGGTTTGTGATAAAACAAGATCAGATATAGAAGTTTGCTTCTTTTAATTTCTTTCTTGATTCTTTGCTTTGTTCATCCATTGCTACTCTAAGAGTAATTTATTTACCTTATGATTTCAGCAACGCAGTTTCAATCTTTGGAGCCAAGTGGAATTGACCTTAAAGCAGATTGACACTGCTGGAACAGAACTTGAGTGCTTCCAAGCTTTGCAAAAGCAAGAACAGATAGCAGCATCACACAGAGTAAATAATATTTGGGAGGAAGTGCAGAAGCAAAAGGAGCTTGAGCAAACTTTACAACGGCGCTACGGAAATCTATTAGCTGAGCTGGAGAGGATACAAAAGCTTGTGGTCGAGTATAGAGCTGAAGCAAAAAAACAAGAAGAAATTGCTGAGAAGAATCATGCTCTTCAGTTGTCTGAGGTGGCAACCGAGGAATCCACTGAGATCTCAGAGCCCTTACCATCCTTGGATACATCTGCAAGCTCTGTGCCAGGTGACCCATCTCACGATGGCACTCCAGGTCAGAAAATGGATGTTGATCAAGAGGAAGCGCACGCAGGAACAGCTGTAGATGTAAGCATATCTACTGATATGCCTTCTGCAAAAGAGGGAGAAACTGCAAGTGCAGTACAAGCTAATAGTGTTGAAGGTCCTGAAATCTCACAAACTCTCACAGATGGACATCATCCAAGTGGTGACCTAACTCAAGATGTTATTGACAAAGCAGATGTACCATCAGATGCCCAGGAAAATAAAATGAATAATGACTCTGCTGATGGTTTGGTTGGTGACAGGGAGGCATCAAATTCTGATGCTGCAGCAAATATGGCTGTTGAGGTTCAGCAGGATGCAGTTGTCATCGAGGAAAATAAGATGAATAATTACTCTGCGGATGGGTCAGCTAATGAGAAGGTACCAAATGCTGATCCTGTGGCTGATATATCTGTTAAGGCGAAGCAGGATGCAGTTGCTACAGATGGAAAGAAGATGAATAATGACTCTGCTGATGGATTGGCTGGTAACAAGTTGGTAGCTAGTGCTGATGCTGTCGAGAATATGCCTGTTGAGGTGCAGCAAAATGTAACCAGAACTGAAGACTGAATGAAACGAATGCAGAAAATCCTGCTAATTGGAATGCCATGTTGGTTTTCTCGAGGGAAGAAATGGTGTATGGCCTGGAACTTATATCTGACTGTAGAGCTATTGATGCGAGCAAGATTAAAAGAGTTCTAATAGCTCATCAGGAAAAAAAAAAAATTCCAGATTAGTATTTTCTCTATCCTCGAGAAAAGAGAATATTCAGAGATAAGATAGTTGGAGATGCATGAGAATGTCCCAATGTGGGTGCTGAAATAACCATTAATCAAACTTGTATGTTACTTATGAAACACTGGAAAAACGTTTATGAACAGAGGACCTGAATTTTGTGTTTTGTCTTTACATGCATATTTCCTAGTTTTGTTGGACGCAACTTGTTCTAATTTTCTTAGATCTGAAGGCTAGTGGAGACCAAGGAAAGGACTTCGATCTGGCTATGTTCATGGTGTAGCAAATGTTATATGATTATTACCAGTCGCATTATTTTTGCTTCTGGATTTTCGATTAACTCATGTTCAGCTTCAATCTTGGCTTAGTTTTTTTTCTTTTTTTCTTACGAACTAACAATACCGATAATTTAATGTTAATTTTTGCATTTTGAGAGTACGCCAATTCCTTCATCGGGGAGGTATATCTTTTCGTATTGGTTTGATTGCCAGCTTCGTAAACAAGTATAGAATGATGATAAGATTGAAGGAAAGAGGTGTTTAAGTGGGAGATATAACTCCTAAGATTGACATAAAATTAGAAGAGAAGTCCTCCCAAAAGAAAGGAAGTTGCTTGAACGTCTCTGAAATAATGAATGGATGAGATAAGATGTGGGTGGAGTCTTAGGTTAGGTGTGGTCAAGAAAGAACACTTCACTTTTAGTTGGCAATATAGATATATGCGTGTATATATATATATATATATATATCTCACAAAGGCCAATGTCTGTGTATTGTCCCCTTGTGGGGTTTGTGGTACAGTTGTAATAACTTATGATGTGTGTGTGTGTGTGTATATATATATGGAAAGGCATGTGTTCTTTTTGAGCAGCCTTGAAGATTAGCATTCCACCTAAATGGAAGCCAAAATCAACCTACCTTCTTACTTCTATATATATACCTAAGGGGAAGCCAAAATCAACCTTCTTACTCCTATATATGAATATACATATATAAACATGAGCAAGTTCCATGCACACATACCATTTCCATTAGTGTTACTTGCAAACCACGTATATATATATATTTGCTCATTTTCAAACTTAATTCCCGTGTGTGTGTGTGTGTGTATATATATATATATATATGCATGTATACATGTATGTGTAAGTCTTATCGTTAATAGTTCCTACTAAAATACATCTAATCTAACATACTAATTACAAACATTAAACATCAAATACATATATATATATGTATATAGACAAAGATCACATGCATGCGTGTATTATTAAATTTGAAGAGATTACACATACACATATACTTACATACATATACAATGTAAATAGTTTGTGATAATATTTGAAGCCCGAGATATAGGGAGTTTATAATTGTTTTTCAATTAAAAGTATAGTTCAAATTTTTAATTCAGAATAATTATTTTAATTAAGAGAAATTAACCGTTACAAAATTATTATTTTTTAATTATTTAAACAGTTATGTTAAAATCAAGTATAGTATATTAAATATTATTAAATTATATATTAAAAAAATTAAATTTAAATTAGGAGTATATTTTTTTGGACAAAAATTAAATTATTATTTTAAAAATTACAAACCCAATTGTAAATATACCTTAAGAATTTTATACTCTTCCTCATTTTTCCTTTAGTTACATGAACTCCATTGCTATACATATGGAGTAAAATTTTATGGCAAGTGCACTGACAATTTTTCCTCTTCTGTTAAAAAACCCAAAAATAATAAAGTATTTCGAAATTTATTTATGATCATGCTCTGAGCAAGTTGTAATTGATTAAATGTTCGTCGAACTTGGCAGTTCTTCCCTGTTAAGCATTATACACGCATGCATACGATATTATAATATACAATATATTTATTATTATGTATTGATGTGTGTGTGTGTGTGTGTATCGATATATCTATACAGTATGAAAGAATGTCCAGTCACTAACGATATCTCGTCTGAGGTAACAGTAAGAGTCCACCAGGCAGCCCAAGAGAAAATGTTGGCAGAAAATCTTTCTCACCCGCATTTTCTTAGGAAACAAACAAACTCTCAGTAGACCCACTTGCGGCTGATTCCCAACCCAGGTGTTATTACTATAAACCTATCTTCATCTTCACTCTCTCTCTCCCTCTCTCTCTCACCTCCAGAAAAAAACAGAAGAACGCAGAAAGTTCCATGACAGCAAAGCTTTAATTCTGCTGTCACTTTTCTTTGATGCCACCAGGACTTTGCTTCAGCTTCATCTTGTGATTCATGTAGAAAGTGGGTCTTATACACTGTAAGTATATCCTAATTTGTTACTATAATTTGATGATGGGTTTTGCATTTGGATTCTTAATGACGGACTGGTTGAGTCGTTTTAAATGTGTAGTTTCTGGGTTCCGAATCGTTTGTGTTATATAATAATATGTATTGATAGGTTTCTTTGATTTAGTTTCTGGGTTTTGAACAGTTTATGTGTTATATAATTATATATATTGAACGGTTTCTTTGATTTGGTTTCTGGGTTTCTTTATGCAGACTTCTTTTTTGGGTTTTATTTAAACTTAATCAAATATTCTTTTTTCATGGGAATTTGGTTTTGGATTTTCATATGAGATTCTAGATTGTTAATGTTTTCTGTTTGGCATTTTTGGGTGTTTATTTTGCTGTCTGATTGTGAGTAATTTTCATGAATATACTATTTTCTGCAGAATTTAAGGAACTGAGCAAGCATTTGATTTTGGGTTTTTGGCTGAAATTAAGTTAAGAATTTGCAATTTGGGTCCCTCTTAATATTTAATCAGCTTATTCTCATCAGGGTCTCAAGGCAGAGAAGAAGAGCTTGTACAGGTGATCATCTCTCTTTATGTACTTTCTTGTTTGCCAAACAGGCATTTTCTCATCATCTATCTTAAAATTTTCTTCGCATAAAACAACCATTGATGTTTGTTGGTTATTTGTAGATTTCTCTGTTTTGATTTCTCACTTTCTGATATAGAGGATTTATAATTTTATAATCTTATAATCTTCTCTTCGTTGTAAAATCTATTATTTATATATTAGCATGCTTCTTTAGGTGGAAACCTGCTCAGCTGCTAAATGCAGATCAACTACATATTCATTCTAACATAATTCGTGTTGAAATTCATCAATATAGATAGGTTTATAGGAAAGGTTCAAACACCATATATGATAGCAAAAGAAGACAGTAGTCATTTGTAATAAACATAAATGTTTTTGTTGCTTTATATCATGTTAAATAATAGAGTTGAACTGATTTTTTCAAGAAAATTCGAGAGAAGTCCCAGTTTATTATTTATACATTAATACTCTTGATATTTACTCTTTCATCATTCTCATTGCTAATGTAAACCATGTTGGGAGGAGAACAATGTTGTAACCAAGCATCAATTTGTAGAGAACTAGTGTTCAAGTAAGTTGGAAGTGAGTTGATTATACTCTGGGATTAGTTTCAGCAAAAATGGTAACCAGAACAGTTGATCTCCGATCTGACACGGTTACAAGACCAACTGAGGAAATGCGTGCTGCCATGGTAACTGCTGAGGTTGATGATGATGTACTGGCTCATGATCCGACTGCATTCCTCCTAGAATCAGAGATGGCAAAGATCATGGGCAAGGAAGCTGCTCTCTTTGTTCCATCAGGAACTATGGGTAACCTCATTAGTGTATTAGTGCACTGTGATATCAGGGCAAGTGAAGTTATCCTCGGAGACAATTCGCACATCCATATCTACGAGAATGGAGGAATTGCCACCATTGGAGGTGTTCATCCAAGGACAGTTAAGAACAACGAAGATGGAACCATGGACATTCATTCGATTGAAGCTGCTATTAGGGATCCTGCAGGGGAGCTTCTGTTCCCAACAACAAGGCTTATCTGCTTGGAAAATACACATGCCAAGTAAGTTCTGTTATGTCTATAGGATTGTAATTTGGCTTCTTTATACTTAACTGGAGCACAAATAAAGGGTATCTTTGTCTTGCTTCTGATGATAATTGTAGGCTTAATTTATAGTCATTTGATTATTGTATGTCTCAAAGAATGACTAATAGTACATTATTATCATACTGAGAACGTTTAGCTTTTGCAGCAAGTGTGATTTCCTTGCTTTGTATTGAATGAGGTCCGAATCAAGAATGATGGACATTTGGGATGTTAAAATCTTGCTTCATTAGATAAACTTCATGCTATGTGGTATTATGTTGAATGTTTAAACTAAGCTGTTTTACATGTCAGCAACTAAGAATGTCGTTTCAGTTTTTTATTTCCAATTTACAGTTTATTCAAACCTTACCCAGTATTTACTTCTTAGCATATTGTCACAAGCTGTCTTTCACCCAATACAGCTCGGGTGGTAGGTGCCTTTCCGTGGAATACACAGACAGAGTTGGAGAAGTTGCTAAGAAACATGGCTTGAAGCTTCATATTGATGGTGCTCGAATTTTCAATGCTTCAGTTGTAAGTAAAAAATTAGTTCAAAGTTAAATGATGAAGATGATAGGATTCAAAATTGTTTGAGAATCTAAATCCCAAGTTTTTGATTTCCCAGGCACTCGGTGTTCCTGTTCATAGGCTTGTCCAAGCTGCAGATTCTGTTTCGGTAGAATCACTTAGCTTTTGACATTGTTAACTTCTTCATCCAAGTTTAATAACATTGCTAGTTTTATATCAATTCAATTCTTATTCATATTTGATGTTGACTCAATTATAGTTTCTGGTTCAGAAACCAAACTCACTCTTGGCTAAACTCTTGAATCAGGTATGTCTGTCGAAAGGGCTTGGTGCTCCAGTTGGGTCTGTTATTGTTGGTTCCGAAACTTTTATTACTAAGGTAATTACAGGAGAATTCTGCAGTCAGATATATTCTTATTTCACTTCATGTTTAAAAAAAGTAAAACTGGTTTATTGTTTCTTTTTAGGCTAGAAGGCTTAGGAAAACATTGGGTGGTGGAATGAGACAGGTCGGTATACTCTGTGCTGCTGCTGTTGTTGCTCTCCGAAAAAATCTTAGCAAGCTTGAAGGTGATCACAAGAAAGCTAAAATATTAGCAGGTAAACAATTGATTTTCATCTTGTCTGATTTAATCTATTTTGTTACGATGTTAGGCGATTCTAATTATCGAAAAAGTTTTATGTACGTCTATTTGCCAGATGGATTAAATCAAATTAATGGTCTAAGAGTGGATGCTGCTAAAGTGGAGACAAATATTGTGAGTGATGATGATATATGTAGTTTGCTTGATTTGAATTTAGGCTTCTGTATCAATACCATGTTTCTAAATGTCTAAATTCTATTATCAGATATATTTCAAGGTAATGGAGTACTCAAGAATGACAGCAGAGAGACTATGCAAATACCTCAAAGATCACGGGATACTCGTGATTTACGAGGGCGAATCCAGGTCTGTTTTAAATGTATCAAAGCTCAACTACATCTTACTGCTGCATTTTCTGATCCTGAATCCCTTTTTTTTTTTTTCTCATAATTGATTCCTGAAATTCTGAGTTTTGAATTTGGGTCAAAGGGCTTTATTGCCTCATTTGGTGCTTTACATAAATGGAATAAACATATGTTGATGGTAATGTTGGTTATATATACATATATATACACATATTTACAGATCTTCTGCTGTTTCAGGATTAGAATTGTTCTTCACCACCAAATTTCAGCAAGTGATGTGCAGTATACTCTCTCATGCTTTCAGGTAACAAATCTGGCACACATGCATATACATCTGTGTGTATATATATCTGGAAAATTATGTGGTTAAAGAAACTTTTACTTGGTTGAACATTGCAGCAAGCTTTAACTGGGGAACATGATGAAAATGGCAACATCTAGTGGGGGGAGAGAAGAAATTCCTGAACACCCACCTACTCATGGAGATCTCTTAAAAATGATTATTTGTCTTGAAAAGAAGTGTATAAATGAAATAATATTATATTAATCTTGGATGTTTTTCAATAACTATTATATATATATATATATATACAATATTTGTTTCTGCTTCTTACTTTTGCCTCTTAGCTACTACATAATAATTTACAAATTATTCACTCTAAATCTATGTTCACAAATAATTATGAAAATAATATTAAATTGAAGACTCTCATAAAATTTGTCTATGAGATATATATATATATATAACTTACAAATTCTTATTAGTTTATATAATTTTCTAATATTTTAAACACATTTTTTCTTTCAATTTCTTCTATGTATAAAATTTTTCCACAAAATAATGTTTCTGTCAAATTTTTAAATAATAAAGTAATTTGTGTATATCTATAAATCTATAATTTTGTAATTTTTAAATAAAATATAAAATTATAGTCTCACACTAAATATATTATTTTATAGTACTTTTAGATATACTCATGAAAAAAATATTATTATATCCTTAAATAATAAAAATATGCTTAATTAAATTAAATATCATAAAATCTATATGACAAAATATTATAAATATGTATATTTAAACCTAATCATTGAGTTGCAAACAAAACAACAGATACCAAGTTCATCATTATTCCCCCCTCTTGTTACATACATACATATATATACATATATATATATATATATAATAACCAGGAGGTAATACATGTTAATTTTTTTTATTATATATACTGTTACTTTAATTTTTATTTTATATTTAAATTTATTTTAAATATTTAAAAGAAAAAAGAAACTGGATGTGTTATATTCCATTTTTACTTTTATATATATAGTATATTTTAGAAATTAATTATTTAATGAGTAATAATTTGAGAAAATATGCAGAGAAAATTATAAAAATATTCAATATAATATATATATATATATAAACTATACACAAAATAAGAGGAAGGTTGCATCTACTACTAGAAAATAAAAAACAAATAAAAAGAGAACAATTTATTGCAGGAAAAAAAAAAATTCTTCTCGAAAAGAAAACCAAGGATGAAGATGATGAGAGAGTTTGGTGAGGGGATTTTACGGAGAAAAAGTTCAGAAAAAAATGGAAACCCACACCATTGCTAGCGCCTGCATAACAAGCTGAGGATCGAGTAGAAAAAGTAAATTAAAGATGTTGTTTCAGGTAGGAGGGCAAGGGACTCGTCCCACTTTCTTTGAGATGGCTGCCGCTCAACAGCTCCCTGCCAGTCTCCGCTCCGCTCTCACTTACTCCATCGGTGTAAGCCGTATTTAAATTTAACCTGTACCTAGTTTCTTCGATTTTGTTTTTGTTTAATTGCGTTTTGCGAGGGTGTGAAGTGAAGTAATTTGAAAGACTCGTGGGAGTTTTCCATTTGGGTATATGAAAAATTTTCACTTTTATGGGTGATTTGTAGCTAAGAAAGTGGTTAAACTTGTGTTATCCGATGGAGAGTCAGTTTATTTGAGAGACATAATGAAGTTTTCCGTTTGGGTTATTAAAATTGCACTTTTCTGTGTAAATTTTAGCAAAAAATTGTGAACCTGTGATGGAGAATCAGTTTATTTGAGAGACTCCTTGGAGTTTTTTCGATTTAGGGTTTCTCAACATTGTCACTTTTTTTCTATGTAGATATTGGCTAAGACTTTATTTGAAAGACTCATAGGAATTTTTCACAAAACTGTCACTTCTCTGTGTAATTATTAGCTGAGAAAGTCTTGTGTAATATGATGGAGAATTAGTTTGTTTGAGAGACTCATTGGAGTTTTCCATTTGGGTTCCTCAAAATTATCACCTTTCTGTGAAAAGTTTTACCTGAGAAATAGTAGGCTTCTTTTCTTTTTCATTAATCAAATAACTAGAGCGACAAAGAGTTGTTTTTTTTACCTAATTAGATCAAAAAAGAAGCAGCAATTACTAGTTTACTTGAGCACACTTACTTGCAAGCAGACCAATTTGTCTCTGTTATGTCTATGAAAAATATTTGGGACTCTCTAACTTGATAAGAATTTTAAGTGGAAGAAGCCTAGGTGTTAGTACAACCCAGAAAAGGCAGAAAATGAATGAAGAATTTTGTGGGTTGATAAAAATGTGGGCTTCTGTAATTGTTTAATTCCATGTTAAATCAACTGGGTATATCCATTGTTTCCTTAGTTTTCTGCTTCATGTTATGAATTATTTGAGCTTATTTGTGATCTTATAGGTATTGGCGTTAAGGAGGCCTCTCCTCCATAAAGTGTTAGACTACGAAGATGAATTCTTCGCTTTACTGATGCTGATTCTCGAAACTCATAGCTTGCGAACAACAGGTTTCTTTCAGTTTGTCCTGATATATGTATTGTCTTTTGCTTGAACCTCATTCTTTTTTCTTAGTTCTGAAATTGTATAGTTGTGTTGGTTTTGGCTATGTTTTTAATACTTGCTAATCGGTCTATACTATAAGAATACTTGCTGATAGCGAGCCCCAAATTTGTATTTTTAACAGTAAATGTTTATTTGCTCCATGAAATACCACCTTCTCATTGATGATAGTGGATGCAAGTATATGATAGATGTTAGGATGACATGATAAGTGCACTGATGGTTAGTCATGTGCATTAGAGACTGTTATTGTGCAATCTTATAGCAAGGTTAGGCCTTTTTGTTTCTTGGCACCAATATTGTACTGGTTATCCTTTACGAATTGTTTCTGGAACACAATGGTTTGCATCACTTTCTTCTGTAAATTGGAATAAATATTTAATCTTCACTCAATTTTGAGAATTTATATCATGTTTCTTTATCAGGAATATTTCTCATTGTGAATATTCTCCAGATGCTTCTTTTGCTGAATCGTTGTATGGTTTGCGAAGGAGAGCTGTGAAAATAAAGGTGAAGAAAGATGACACTCGAACCAATTCAAATGATGGGATCCGTCGTTCTGGATTAGAGAAGCACCAAAGGGTTCTTTCTGTTGTATTTCTGGTACTCAATTCTGCCGTCATGATCTAAACATGATATTTCTGAGAAAATTTTCGATTGCATCTGCATTTCTTAGTTTAAGGAGTACTCCCCAGCTTGCTGGAGATTTCCAAATTTCATTGTTCTCTTTCTTCAAGGAATTCTCTTTATCTTATATTAATATCTCTAGCTAGGATTTCTCTCTTTTGATACCTGTCAATTGCTGAGATTACTGAGGTACAACTCTCTAGTCTTTAGTCTTGGTCCTGGTCAGAGACCACTGTGTTCGTGTCGGTGGTCCAACAAAGAGGCGAAGTAGTGGTCTTTTTCTTTCCATTACAAACGACACGCTTCGCCTGCTCCCTCGCCGTGTCCGCTAGCGCTCCTGTCCAGAGTGAAGAGAAGGCGAACAAGCGCCCGCCTTTCCAGTACTACACTTCCAGAGGCATCTTATTATGTCACACCAGTTAATCCACAAATGAAAGAAGCATATCATTTTTCTGTCTTTGATCTGACCTTCTACCGAATATTTTTGCATATCTATTCGCCCTCCTCTTATCTGCTCTTTCTTTTTGGGTACTGGATGGCTACTGCCTCTATTATCATGAATTTGTTGATCCTAATCCTGTTGCATGTAGTAAATACTAGTTAATTATTACCACTAGCTATGATGTGTTAGTGCCTGAGTACTTTGTGACTGAGGACATAGACCCACCAAAATCCTTTGCAGTAAACAGGTTATGATTTATGTTTTTGATGTATGTGCAGGTTGTCCTGCCATATTTTAAGTCAAAGTTGCATTCCATCTACAATAAAGAAAGGGAAGCCAGACTTCAAGCAAGCCTATGGGGAACTGCCGATGAAGGATTTGAAGATGCTGGTTATTTTGATGGAAGGGAGAGTTCTCTTGTTCCAAGAGAGACTGTGGATGCAGAAGTATCAATTAGAATAGCTGCAATGAAAAAAATTCAGAAAATTATAGCTGCTTGCTACCCTTGGATACATGCGAGCAGCGAAGGTACATGCTCTTTTTAAGTTATTGTGTTGTCTTTTGTTTTTCATGGTGTTATCTGTCTGTAAATTAAAATG